ATTTTACAAATTTTAATATATAATATATAATAAATTATATAAAATCAAAATTAAATAACAATAAATCAAATTTATAGTTAAAAACTTGAAATTAGCTAATTAAAATTTAAATATCCAACAACACAAATAAATTAAACAAAGAAGATAACTTAAATTTAGAATTTTAGATGGTTAAATTAAATTTGTCCCGAATTCTCGATTAAAATGTTGATTTGTGGTTGAGTTGTGGTTGAGTTGTGTGGGTTGTGGGCTTTTAAAATGAAAAATGAGCTTAATTTATAAGTTATTTAATCAAAACTCACTAATGAGAAGCCCAAAAGGAAATAGCCTAAAACTCCAGCTGCCAAATAGAAGGTAAAATCTCGATTTTACCTGATTTTATGATAAAATCTAGATTTTACCGTGAAATCCTCAGATTTTATGAATTTCAGATTTTAGTATAGATTTTATACGAAATGTTTTGCTGAAATCGTAAAATTGTAAGATTTTAAGATTTTAAAATTTAAATCTAAATTTTAACAACAATGCTTAGGAGTACATTTCTAAGATGGAAAGTCATGAACAGATGCAATAATGATTTGTACTGGAAGGTCTATGGTAAATTTCCATTTTCCATTTTTAGTTTAGTGATCGAAGTTTTTTTTTGTTTGTCGATTTATACACAGTTGGAGGCTAGTTTAGCTGCACTTGTCAATGGCAGATTATTCATATCTGAATTAAGAAATATAAAAATTATTATTATGTTTTTACGTGAGATTTTTTTATTTAATATATTATCCCTTTACATATATAAGGGGATAAGAGGGCATGGAGATAAGAGGGCATAAACTTCATATAGTAAATGTTAGGTGTGTTAATAATGGTTTCCCACCATATGAAAATTGTAACTCCCTCCTTGGTCTGGTTGAAGGTAAATCATTCATGTCAAGGACATAAATTTCAGATGTTGTTTAATGTTAAGTGTTTTAATAATAAGTTTTTCACATGTAAAAATTTGGATATGAATTTAATTAATTGAGAATAAATAGAATAACTTTCTTTAAATTTTAGTCACAACATTTTACCACTTAACATGCTGGTTAACATCCCTTTATATTGAAAACTAGCTTGAGTTTGAAAAAATAAACAAAGAAAGGACCAAGCGTCCATGATCCAGCAAAAAAAAAAAAAAAACTGTAGAGTCCAACAAAATTCTTGAAGACACATAACATATCCAAACAAGTAAAATTCTTGAAGATATATTAACATGTTGCCAACAATTTAATTAGTCAAGCTGTGAAGGCAAAACGACAATAGAACTATTATCGCAGGGAGTGTGTTGGTTTACTTTATTTTTTATTTTTGTAAATAGGTACGACTACTCCTTGTACTTCAATTAATAAATTTTATTTTGCTTATCAAAAAAATAAATAAATAAATAAAAGGTAGCAAGATGCTGGACAAAGTTGGTCAAAATGTTAAATCAGAAATAAAAATCAATGCGTGTATAAACTTGTAACAACGCAGATTTGTAGTTGCAAAGTGGGTAAGAAATTAACCCGCGACGCTATGGTGCGTCTACCGTAAGATGGGCTACGGGTTAAACAATGAGATTGTGAGAAATCACCAAAAAAGGGTGAGGCATGAAAAGCTGCCTCAAGGCCGGAATCATGTTTAGATTAAGACTTGAAAGGGAAGAAACATCACTAAAAACAGTAACCATGGGGAAAATTATATTCAGCTTGATTGGGTTGGACTCGATTCCAAGGGCTTGAATTGCTCGGTGAAATTGGTGAAAACAAGAGATGCCTTGGGATACAGTTGATGGTGGGTGATCTGCTTTGGAGGGATGTGGCGTGGCTGGTGATGATGCGGGCTAAGACGAATCAGAGGAACGAAGAATTAATGAGACGCTTTTATTCCTTTTTGATTTTAAATTCTAAAGTAAAGAAAAAAAATGAAATTCTTATTTAGAAAACCTAAAATAACATTTTTTTTTAAAGGAGAAATTAACTACGCAAAAAAGATTGAAGATAAAAAGCATGGAAGAAAGGATTGCAGAAGTCAAAAATAGGAATTAAGATCTTTTTAACTCGTTAGAGCTATAAAGCTTTGATAGCATTATTAAGGTTTAAAATATGGGAATGTAAGTCGAGAGGATTGAAAGAAAGACATTTTATTATAATGTTGAGATGTGTATGGAGTTACATATATAATAGCCTTTATATAAGCTCTAGGGTTAACACTATAAAGAAATAAATCATTACATTAAAATATTTAAATATAAATATATTTATTAATGTTTTAATCAAATATATTATTTGATCAATCCATCACTAATGTGAATTAAGAAAAGGGGAGCAAACCCCTTGTCAAATAAGCTACAACTACTTGAGTTATTGTACATTTCTTTTGTTAGAGTGTTCGAAAATTTAATTTTAAATTAATATTAATTGTTTTATTAAAAATTAATATTTAACAATTACAATTATTTTTAATAATTAAACTATATAGAGTCTATCTCTTATTTGTAGTGTGTATATGCTTCTCCTTCATTCACTTGTTCATAAAAAATTAATTCAATCGCCCAAACCTATTATTTGTTGAAAGAATTGTAGAAAATCAAGACCTCTTAATGATTAAAATATCATAAATAATAATTAAAAATTTCAAATACTGTTAATAAATTTATTTATAAAAAATATTTATTAAAAATATTTAAATAATTTTATAAATAATTCTAATATTATAAATATCAACGCATTCTAGCTTTTACTTTCTCTCCGTTGAATATTGAAATATGGAAGCGTGTGGGCAAGCTAATTTTTCAACATTTGAAAAGAAAACTACTCATTCAACTGTTATATTAAAAAGGCTTTGAAAAACAATATATATGACCTTTGACTGCAAAACAAGCATGGAGCTGAATTATTAATTTGAATGATACACCAACACTTGCTGACTGCGCAGGCTGCAGGTAACTTTCTCTACACATGCTTTCAATCATAAAATATCATTAATTCCTCTTATTTTTCATGTCTAGTTTCTCGTGAACAAATGCGGAATGCCCATGCACACACACTACAGAGAAAAGGGAGAGAGAGGGTTCCACCATGTCCAAATCTTGGATTTTCTTTTTCCACATTGTTAATAATATTGTACAACTGTCCCAAGAAAGACTTACATTTAGAAATTGACACTTAACAAGAAAAATTGATAGTACAAATTTTTTATTCCACACCCTAATATCAAAATTATTGGGGTGGGAAATCAGTTAAGTATTGCCTACAATAACTAAAATATAATGAAGTTAATCAAGCCATCATCCTTGTTCGATGCGACGATCTTTTCCATTCCACCAAACGCCGCAAAAAATCCTCCACCTGTGAAAAATAATAAAATTATTAATCAAAAAATGAAAAATTTCATCTTAAAAAAAATGAAAAAGAAAAAGAAAAGGAAGAACAAATTGCTTGGTGTATAGCAGCATTGTTACCTCAGCTGGTTCTCGAAGGGAATAAGAAGCATTTGTTTCTTTTGGAATTTTAGAAACGAGGATTCCAAATCCTTGACCTCTATCACGTAAAACCTGTTCATTGTTCATGAAACAATGCATTTAAATAAGTGGAACTATGGAAGATAACAAAGTTTGAAGAGCGCATAAGATATACAAGTAGAGTACCCACCTTGAAGGCATCCTCATCTGTCCTGTCGTCGCCAATGTAGACCGGTAGAACATCCTTTGAGTTGGCATATCCTGATTAACGAAACAAAACATAAATTAACAAAGTTAATTACTATATAAGAAGTTAACTAAAGCATGTTCTTCAGCAAAAAAATTGCGCAAAATTAATTAATATATTCACCTAATGCCTCTAACAGAAATTCAAGAGCTCTTCCCTTGTCCCATTTGATGGTGGGACGAATCTCTAACACCTTCCTTCCTTGAGTTAGTTTAAGCTTTGGGTACTCGTTCAAAACCGATCCAACTAGCTCAGCCAGTGCACCCCACCTCTGCCAAAAACAAAAATGAATAATATTAATATTAGAACTGGAGATGATCTCTGATACCCAAAAGAAAAATAAAAGTTGGGCTCCGGGTTTGTACCTTTTCATCTACACAGCGGAAGTGTACGGATAAACAGAACTTGTTATTTTCTACTCTTACTCCTGGAATGGATTTTGTTTTCTCTTCCAAAGTTTTATATACCTGAAATGATAATAATGGAAATTGTGAACAAATTTTTATTGAGAAAGATGTATTTTTCAGTGCGGTGTTTTTCAAGGAGAATGATCATACCTCTTCAATCATGGGTAAAAATTCGCTAGCGGGTTGGCACAGGACCGACTGTTTATTGCTCTGAAAAATTCAAAAAGTGGAGGTTGAAAGATCAGAGGCAGCCACTGGAGAAAATACTGTTGAAATTGTGGAAGTTGGAATCATTCTTACATTTTTATATTTCTGGTTTTTAGATGGTCCTTTGATGTCCATTCCATGGCTTCCAGCGTAGTAAAGGTCTGCCAATTTTACAAAGCTGTAAACCTGCACAGTTCAATAGCATAATTAATACCGAGATGGGTAGAAGAAGACAAGAAGTAAGCAGATTCTGGGGGAGATTAAATGTACCTTGTCGTAGCACCGTCCGGTGACTATGGCGGTCGGGAAACATTGGGCGGCATCTCTTACAGCTTCTCGCATCTGATTCAGGGAAAATGTTAGAAGGGTTTTTCTGTGGAAGAAGGAAGCAGAGGAGATGGAAAAGGATGGAACAGAGAATGAACCTCGTTGGTCATGACAGCTCGATCCGGATCCTCGACAATCGGAGAGAGGGTACCGTCGTAATCGAGAAACATAACTATTTGTTTTCCTTTGGAAGCATTTACAATCTGGTGGAACATGCTTAAAGCCGACGGATGACGAGTCTGTATCATTTGAGAAAAGTAAGAAACGGTCAAAATATATATATATATATATATATATGTATAATATCAAAATTACATAACAGGGGAACGGAACCTACAATCCATGAACTGTGCTCGTCGGTTTCCGACAGAGAAGCGGCGGCGGACCTGACCCTAGTAGGTGAAGAAGCTCGCATGGAATCAACCCAACAGGCATTGATTTTGGTTGCTTTGTTTTCAAATTCAAGCTTCTTCAAGGACTTTGGAAGGACGACCAGTGCCGGTGAAATCGAGGGAAACAGAGAGAACAGAGAAGAGTTGGGCAGAGGCACCGTGGGCCTGAAACTAATTCCCGAAACCAAGACATTTTGGTTTTTCATTCTTGGTTCTTTAGCTTCTGCAAACATCAAAACCAAACTCATGAAACCAAACTCACAAATCTCATAAGAATAACTGAAATGCAGACAATAAAAATACCTGAACAGAACAGAACAGAGGAAGAAAAAACAGGGGAGAAACAGTGGAGATCGGAAATGTGGGATCTTAGGGAAAACAGGGGAGTTTGAAGAGAAGAGCACTAGGAGTTGAACAGAACTTGGGGGGTATGTAGTCAATTTATAACTCGGTTTCATAAAAAGCGGACGAAACAGCCAGACACTTTCTCTCTCCGGCCCACCTGCACGTTCCAACCGCGATCTATTTCCTTTCTTTGCCCTCCTCCTTTTTTAATTTTTATAATAAAAAATGGACCACCTTATAGAATAGTTCTCTCCAACTTTGAAAAATATGATGTTCATGGCAACTTTTGTTCCAAGGTAATGTTAAAATTTTACATTTGGATGATGAGGTAATCCTCTATATATTCTTGTAATCTCCAATCTCACTTTATATCATTATTGGGTAGGTTTTCTAAACTATTTCCCTATGCTCTAGATCAATCATTCTAAAGATTTAGTGTGGAATTTGTTCTAGTTTGGAACCTTCTTGCAAAAGTTGTGCTACAGTAAGCTTTGGTTGAGGCCACCTTAAATTTCTTAAGATTATTTAAATTGTTAAATTTTTATTTTTAATTTAACTGTTAAAAATAATTATTAATTAATAAGATAATTAATATTTATTATTTACTATATTAAAATTAATTTATAAATAAATATTTTTAAATATTATAATTAATTATTTTAAAAAATTTATAAATTGATAAAATTACAAATATAATGAGTAACCTTAATAAAATAAAAAGTGACAATAACCTCATACTTCATATTAACTTAATAATTATTTTTGATGATATAACTATCCAAATCTTTAGTCAGAACCAGAAAAAAGAAAGCTATACTGTACTACATAGCTTTTTCAGAATTTAGTTTAGCTGTCTTAAGACTTGTTTGGGTTAATTTGCAAGAGTTTTTTTTTTTTTTGTATTGTTACTTTTAGATATAAGAAAAAGTGAGTAAAAAAAGAGTTTATGAAAAGTTGAGATTTAAAATTTTTGAGTTTTTATTGTTTGAAATTTTTTTAAAATTAAAAAAAAATTTTAAATGTAAAATTTAAAAAAAATTTAATTTATAAAATATAAATAATAATAAAAAACTGAAATATTTAGAAACTAAACCAAACATGTGCATCAAAATTTTGAAGGTAAGAACAAACGGCGTGGTAAAATTAAAGGATTTTTTGAAAGGGCTCGATCAAGTTTTGTTTTTTATTTTGTTGTGGACATATGGTACAGTAGCGGGCCATGATGAAACTAGTGAAGGGTCATCCGAGTCCCGATCGTTGTCTGAGTTTTGATTGTCATGAGGTTTGACAAGAAAACACCTTCAAGTGGTCCCTAATTTAGTTCGTTGTCAAACTCGTGAGTTTCTTTTACTCTCTGCTGTTTATGTGTGAAAATGTATTTGTAAATTTGGAATCCACCTTTTGACGGTTGGGACAAATACCACTTGAGTTCGGGAAAGATTCAGTCAAGCTGGTAATAAAGTGCAGGATTGGGGGCATGTTTGGATTAGTTTATACGAGTGTCAGTATTTTTTATATCATTTATATTTTATAGTTTAAATTTTTAAAAAAAAATTTATATTTTTAATTTTTTTAATTTAAAAAAAATCATAAATAATAAAAAAATCAAAATTTTTAAATTTTTATTTTTTATAAATTTTATTTATTTTTTTATATTTAAAAATAATTTTTAAATTATTTTAAAAAAAAATTTAACTTTATCACTTATAAATAATAAAAATTCTTACAAACCAACCAAACCTACTCTAAATGTAAAACTCCATTCTAACACGTTTTTCTTTCATCTTCTCTCACTCTTTGTCTGATAGAGACAAACACGTCATGCTTATGGTTAACAGCTAGCTCGTCGACATAAAGTTTCCATTGACATAACAGGGTCTATAACATCCCACAACTGTTTAAGTTCTTGAGAACACATGGAGGTTCTTTCAAAAAAAGTTGTTAAATCAATAACGAATTTTAATTTGAAACATTTTAATTGGTATAGAGGGGTCATTTTTTACAGGTGTGTAGACTCATAGGGATTATCACAGTTGGTGATAGTATCAACTTCACATTACTTGGGGTAAATTTTATACTTGTGATGAGAACATTAAGTGCTTAAGTAAAAGGAATTGTAACACCTCAATCCTCACATTGATGAGAAAGTGTGGGTGAATTTGACATATAAATATAAAAATCAACTACTACTAACAACTTGACTTTTAAACTATTAAGATCTATGAGCCTCAATCCAAAAAGTGGTTAGCCTACTAGTAGACTTGGGTCGTTTAAGATATAATTTTAAAGTATGATTTCTTTTGTTAGTTTTGAGATGGTCGTGAGATTAAAAACCCATCTTTGTTTCATTTTCATAATTAAATCTTGTTTTAATGTAAGTTGGATTTTATTTAAGTTGGATTTTATTTGGTTAAGCATGTTTATTTTTGGAAAGTTCTTGATACATGCTTTTTTTTTTTTTTTCAATAGTGCTTGATACATGCTATTTAATTTATAAAATACCTATATTTTTCTTAAAATGAGCATATTTACTTGATATAAACTTGTTAGCTTGTTTTAGTTTTCAATATAGTTATGTTTTACTTGTTATCTGCTAGTGGAAGGTTTATAAACGCTAATACATATCAATATATTACTTATGGAACATTGAAACAACCCGAATTAAAATTCACTATTGATCTAACAACTCTTCTAACCAAGATTCATGGGCCCTCAAACACTAAAGCACACCTCAAATGATGGGTCCACACTACTATTGACCATCATGGTCAACATGGATCCACACCTATAAAAGGTAGCTATTTTGATACCAACCAAAACAACTCGGGTTGAAAACTGCCACTAATCTAAGAACTCTTCTAGCCAAGATCTATAAGTCTTCAGTTTAAACTCAAGTTGTTAATAGTGATAGATATCCACATTCATATATTGGGCGGTGCTATACATATATCTTTTTTATACTATCTTTTGATACAACTTCTACATGTCATTAAATGAGTGGATATATTCAATATCATGGGTCTCACATGAATTAAAAAAAACCAATCATTTAAATGACATGTCAGGTTGTATCAAAATGTAGTACAAAAAGATTATCCCAAAAGGTAGTATAAAAAGATTATTCCAAAAGGTGGTACAAAAATATTATCCCAAAAAGTGGTACAAAAGGATTGTCCCAAAATCATTTCTCTTATATATTAGACTTCCTTACACTTTCCTATCGATATAAGATTTGTGGCATTACAACATTTTTATACAATCTTTTTATATCATATTTTTATACAACTTTCACATGTTATGAAATGAATAGATGTATTTAATATCACGTGTCCCACATAAATTAAAAAAAGAACCAATCATTTAAATGACACATCAGATTGTACCAAAAAATGGTACAAAAAGATTATCCTAAAATTATTGTCCCAAAATCATTTCTCTTATATATTAGACTTGCACTTTCCCATCGATATAAGATTTGAGGCATTACAACCTTTTCATTTAAACACTTTAGATTCTTCTCAAACTCAATCACAATCAAAACAAGATTCATTGGATTGCAAGCACAGAATCCATCTCAAGTGATGCAAATCCACACTAGCATTGGTCGTGATAGATAACATGGACCCACACACTTGCGAGAGATAACTGCTTTAATATCAACTAAAATAATTTGAGCAAAAGCTTACCATTAACTTAATAATTTTTTGAATCAAGATCCATATGCCCTTAAAAACTTAAGTTCAAGTTGCAGGGCATTATAGTTTGAAAGATAAATCTTTTACACAAAAAATTACTGTAATTCTTTTATACTTGGATTGCACAAACAGTAGCATATCTGTATACGTATATATACCCCTCGCTTTTCTTATTTTCTATATTTCTTGCACTTGCAAAGTGCACGAGAGTGGCGGACCTAAAATATTGAAAAGAAATTTTTAAGTTTAATTATAAAACGAAAAATTGAAGTATACATGGGTGAAAAATGGCAAATTTAAAGTTAAATGTTAATTATATCATAGTTTATCACCTAATTTTATGTTCTTTTCTTTTACCAAGTCAAAACATAACCCTACCATTTTAACAATTTTCATAATAATATACTTTAATTTCTTTTATTGGGACATTCTTCAACGGTTATGGATTATTGTAATTGTTATTGTTTTTGGCTTTGGACTTAAATTGTTGATTATTTGATTTTTAATTTTTTTACCTGTAATTGCTAATTGATTATACTATTTGATATCTAATTTATTTGTGAGAGAGGCTTTAATCTTTTAATTAATTCTTACTAGTGAGTTTATCAAGTTGTTGTGAGTTTATGCTAATCATGCTTTTGTCTTGTTTTATTACCTATTTCTTGATTTTTTGTCCACTTTGTCAACAAATATTTTAGACTTGGGTTTAACTTTTATATTTATTCTTATGTTAGTCCCTTATAACGTAAATCTAGATTTGTACACTTGATTTGTTTTGTTTTATTTTATTTCAATTTATAATTTAATTTATTTACACAAATTACTCTATTTCTAGAAGACTTCAGAAACATTTGTTTTAATCAATTTATAAAATACTTCTTTTTTGGTTTTTATTTACCATTTTGTTAGTTATGATTATTTTATTTTAATAATTTTTAAATTTTCTGATTTAAGTATTTTGCAGATCAAGTTGTAGGACTTAAATAATTACGTTAAAATAAATAAAGTTAATTTTATCTCTTTTTCCTTTATCAATATTTTTTATCCGTACTTATATTTTATCATTATTGTATTCTTATTTTTTATCATTTAAAAAATTTTTGATTTGTATTTATAGATTATTTTAATAATAAAAATTATAAATATTGAACAATCCATTTAGCTTAAATATATATATATTTTTTGGTAATATATAGTTGTTCCTCTCTAGCCTTTAAATCTTAACCATGCCGCGGTGAACCTTACGGCTTGACATTCACAAAAACAAAAAATCCCCATGGGCCCTCAAAGTTCCAATGTTCAAATATAAATATACACCATTTTGTAATTCTCACACCGCCCCTTGTAAACCTAACCCTTGGCGTGCGGTTTGCTTCAA